TAAAGTACTTTGTGCAACCTGAAAGCACTATATAAATGTGAACCTTTCCTATTAAAGATTGTGCCAGTAGAGGGCAACATGTGAAGCTAGCTAAATTAGGAGGGGTTCACCACTAGGTTGGGTTTAGGGTGAATTTTTTTTTTAAGTCATTCAGTAGGACCATCTCCTAAGGTACATGGAGTGAGGGTGGGGGTGGGAGTGGTGGTGGAGGAGTTGCAATCTGTATTGTGGAAGAACTAAATTACAAGTCCTTTAAGTTCTGATTAATCAATGAACAAATATTTATAAAGAACCAACTATGTGCCAGGTACTTCTAGGAACAAAGAGAAAAGCGAGACAGTCAACAAAATTTATTACGCCCCTAACACATGCCAGGCACTGTGCTAAGTGTTGGAGATAACAACGAGAGGCAAAAAATAGGCCCTGTTCTTCAAGGAGTGCATCTGTCTTCAAGGTCCCTATATTCTACTAACACATAGCTGGGAGAGAACTCTGGTCTGGGCAGGAATCATGAGTAGAAGCTTATGGCAACAAATTGTCAAGTAATTCCCAGTAGCAACAGTAATACTGTTCTCTGCAGCAAGCAAAAGAGGGCTGGCAGCAAGGCAGATGGCAAAATATCCATACTGGCTAGATCCTTGGAGATGGTTGAATCAGGGGACAGTCTTCTCATTTTATACTAACCACAAACTTTAGCAATTGGTAGGGAAATTGTATCCCCATTCTTCAGATAAGGAAACCAAAGTACATTGCCTTTAACTGCCTTGTTCAAGGCTGTATACTTAGCTAACGGAAGAGCGAAGACTAGAACCTGGTTCTTACAATTTTTGAGCAGGAAGGGGCCTTAGGAATCATACCATCTAACCTCTTCATTTTTATAAAAGACATAAATGAGAGTTGTCCAAGTTTCCATAGCTGTTAAGCAGCACAGCAGGGCCTAAAACCCAATTCTTGAGTATACTGTGAAAACACTTGAAAACCACAATTTGAATCCTTTCTTGACCATAAGCAACCTTTCAAACCGAGACTTTTCAGGCCTCTCTATAGTGTGGTTCTTGCTATCCCATAGAACATAGCTTGGACATGTTCGCTTGCTGGTTGGAAACTTTAGCATTGCTCTAGAACTGAAGGATGGAGAGCTAGGGACCTAATATCAAACCTGAAGTGATTGCAAAGCTTCTTGTCCTCCTATAGGCTTTAAATTCATAGTCAACAATGCTGGAAGGGGTCTTAGAAGTCATCTAGTACAGTGGTGTCAAACTCAAATAGAAACAGTGGACTGCATTACTGACTTAGCAAATCACAAATTATGTAACTCATGAGACCTTTGTCAGTATTAAGATAGTTGGAGGGAAAAAATTATATGGATAGATAGATAAACAGATTGTTAGACAAATAGAAGGCACAGGGTTAGTTGAAGATGAAGGGGTGATATCTGGAGAATAAAATTAAGGGGTAAGAGAGGATTATACTGGGAGAAGGAGAAAGAAGTAGAATGTGGTAAGTTATCTCAATGAAACAGACAAGAAAAGGCTTTTACAGTGGAGGGAAAGTGGGGGAAAGTGAGACAAACCAGTGAATCTTATTCTCATAGTATTTGGCTTAAGGAGGGAAAAACATACATACTCAATTGGGTATGGAAATTTATCTTACCCTACAGGAAAATAGATGGGAAGGGGATAAAGGGGGGGATGATAGAAGGGAGGGCAGATTAGGGGAGGGGGTAATCAGAAGCAAACCACTTCTGAGAAGGGACTGGGTTAAAAGAGAGAATAGAATTAAATAGGGGGCAGGATAGGATGAAGGGAAATATAGTCAGTTTTTCACAACATGACTACTATAGAACTGTTTTGCATGACTGCACATGTATAACCTGTATCTAGTTGCTTGCCTTCTCAATGAGAGTGGGTGGGGAGAAAGGAAGGGAGAAAATTTGGAACCCAAAGTTTTAAAAACAAATGTTAAAAATTGTTTGCACATGCAACTGATAAATAAGATATACAGGCAATGGTGTATAGAATCCTGCCCTACAAGAAAATAGGAGAAGGGGATAAGAGAAGAGAGAGGAGATAGAAGGGCAGATTAAGGGAAGGGGTATTCAGAATGCATGCCACCTTGGGGTGGGGGAGGGACAAGATGGGGAGAAAATTTGGAACTCAAAATCTTGTGGAAGTGAATGTTGAAAACTAAAAATAAATTAATAATAAAAAAATAATTAGAAAACCACGAATTAACATTATCTACGTCCTATCATATTTTTATTTATTTTGTTAAATATTTCCCAATTACATTTTAATCTGGTTCTAGCCACACTCCCCTGAGTTTTGCAGCACCTGCCTCTAGGTCTCCAGTGTTACATCTTTAATCTTGTCCATTTGCCCCCTACCTAGTTCTCACCCCCACCCCTCCATTCTACAGATGAGAAAAAGGATGTTCAAAGAAGTAATCTGGCTCTTCTACTCATATCGTTAGTGCCAAAGTTAGCACTTCAACTCAATCTCTGGTTTAGTGTTTCTGCCTAGTTTTATCTTTGTCTTCAAGCTATAGACTTCCGTGTTGCTATGAGGAAAGGGCTTTGTAGACCTGAGAGCCCTCTGTACATCTACATAGCTATTATCCAAAGATCTCTTCCCATCCCTCCCAAGGCTTGCAACAGAGTGCCTTCAGGGATGCACTGCACAGGACATGGAATCCTTAAGTCAGAAGGGTTCAGGGATCTGGTTGCAAGGCTCTAGCTTCCCATCCGAGGGCATTTCTATTCATGTCAGAGCCATGTGTGAGTGTAGAAAGGAAGTTTGTTTTACCATCTGCCAGTGTTAAGGGAGTGTTAGTCTAGCTAACTTCCAACAGCAGTGAGAGGAAACCAAAGGCAGTCTAAGTATATGCAAGCCAACAAATGTACAAGTTAGCTTTACAGCCTGTCCCCAACTTGTGAACACTTAACTTAAAAGGCCGATTCATTTACAGCCAGTACCAGAGTCAAGTCAATAGAGTCCAAGAATCCAAGTGGGTCTCTCCCTTTCTTTCCCCACCAATCTAAAAGCCTTGGTGCATTGTTGACATAGAGAGGTACCTTCTCTTGTAGAGGTATAAACTCATAATATTATTGTAAGGGTGTGGTTGAAATCACTCTATTTTGGCTGTGGTGCTTTGACTAGGTCAGAACACTTTCTGATCGGTAGGAATGGAACTGAGTGTGAACAGAGCCTGTACAATGCCTTTGTGTGAAAGGTTGGGCCACACTCTAGGCACTTTATATAAAAGAAACTGTCTCAACCCTGGGGAAGGGATTCTGAGCATTTGGATTCAAGAGGCTGAATCTCAGTATATCTTTGAATAGGGAAGAGAGGAGTGAGCCGTGGCAGAGAACATGGAGGACAGTCATTAGTGAGAGAAATGCCTAGAAAAGGCAATCTGTCTATTCATAGACACTACGGTATAATCTGCTGTTTCATTGCCCAAATGTCCCCAAACTGAATTTTGACTCCACCACAAAGAAGCCTGAAGTTAACTAGAGATAGATATAAACGTAAGGTCGGGCAGAGATCCCAACTTCCCGACTAGGTGTCGAGGAATTTTCCTAATGGGGGACTCAGAACAACTTTGACTTAACTCAGAACTTTGTTTAAAAAAAAATTAAAACAAACTTTGTAAAGTGGAAGAGAAAGGAACCAATTAGGTTCTTAAATCTAGGACCTTAGGGTCTTAGGTTTAAAAAGAGTTAATTATTGTAATAGAGGTGTTAAAAATATTTTAAAACCGTAATGGTCCAAACGTCCCTTTTTACAAGTTATCATGGGGCAAATGCTCTGGTGATGGGGCTACAAAGAAAAAAAATGAGAAGTCCCTAACCTTAAGTAATTTATGTTCAACTGGAAAGTGAGACCTAGAATGAGTAAGTGGTGGCATAGTGAGCTTAGAGGAGTGGTAGATTTGAAATCAGAAGACCACGATTAATTAGATCTGTAGCAAAGGCCCCTTTTGCCAGGCTGGTGAAATCCCTTCTCCGAATGTTGTTGCTGTTTTTAAATTCATAATTGAAGGAAATACTACATTTCAGGTAGAGATTAAGAAAAATAAAGATGTAATTTTTTTTCCCATTCTGGTTCACAGTCCTCTTGAAATCTATCCCAGGTTAAGAACCCCTGATATCTAGAGTTCTTCCATCTTTAAAAGCTGTGTCTGTATGATCCGAAGGGACTTGCCCAAGGTCAGATGGAACTGTGAACTTTTTCCAGGCTTTTCTCATACCAGACATCGCCTCCACTTTGGGTGCAGCTTAACTAACTAGAGCTATTAGTCCCTCACTGAGGTACAGTCTGAATTAAACAGGCTTTTTATAGATTCACCTGGGATCCTAACCAGTGTGTACAATCTTGCTTTTATGGAAGGACAGTTCCAATTAATCGATTTACAAAGTTTTGGAAAACAAAGTTTGTTAACTGAGGATGCCCCATTTTTTTACCTCTGTGCTCACATGCTCAGGCCCTGCCTCTCTCAGGCTTGCAAGCAAAGGAGCTGCTTCTCTCTCCAAATTTGGGTTCTTGGGAGAAAAGAGTTCGTAGAAAAATCTGGTTATCTTTTAACCTTTCAACCGACGTCTCTTTCTGTGCCTGATCTATGGCTCTTGCACATGCTACAGAGGCTAGCTTCCTAGTCATGAAAAAAGTACCCAAACAAAAAGCCACCGGTGGAGAGGTGAAAAGGACCAGACTTCCCCTCCGTCTTTTGGTCCCTCCTCATCTCCATCCAGACAGATCCCCGGGGCTCCAGACTGCAGCCGAGGCTGCCGGGAGCCCACTACGCTCCCCGGGAGTCTGGTCGCCGTAGCAGCAGCAGCAACAGCGGCGGCGGCGGCAGCAAGCAAGCAAGCAAGCAGCAGCGGGAGGAGGAGGTGGCGAAGGAGTTGGAAGAGGAGGAGGGGAAGGAGGGAAGGGGAGGAGGGGGCGGAGGAGAAGAAGGCGGGGCCGGCCGGGTTTAAAGCCCATTAAAGGGGGTGGGGGAAGTGAGGGAGCCCGGGAAGGGGGTGATAGATCTTGGGCTGGAGAGTCAGCTGAGCTTCTCGCTGCGAGAGCTCCACAGCTCGGTCCTCGGAGGAGAAGGAGAAGGAGGAGGAGAAATCGCAGGAGGCGGCGGCGGCAGCGGCAGCAGCAGCGGCGGCGGTAGCCGCCCTATCCCCAGGAGCTCCAGCGGCGGGAGGAGGAGAAAAGAGAAAGAGGGAGAAGGAGAGAGAGAAGAGACTGGGAGATTACGGGGGCGGCGATTGCGAAGGCGAAGCCACAGAAGTTTTCTTGAAAATCCTTTTGCGGCCGACTACGTGCACGGGCGTGCGAATCTTCTGCGGACCGACTGCGCAACTACGGGAGTACCCAGTCCTGCCTTCCCGCTCCGAAAGTGCCAGCCTCGCCCCCTCCCCCCTTTTTTCCCTTCTTTCTCCTGCCTCGAATCGGTGCAGCTTGCTACCTGACCCTCGAGCAAAGGCGCCGACCGGGACCCCCGGAGACAGTTGTTAGCGGGGAGGGGGCCCAGGGGCGACCCCCGAGGAGGAAGAGGAGGGAGGCAGCAGCAAACAGCACCACCAACAGCAGGTAGGCATGCAAGCATGCATGTATGCATGCACGCCCAGAGAGCGAGCCAGAGTTCCTAGCGGCTCCCGGCCCGTCAGGATAGACCCGCCTTCCTTGACCTCACCCCACTCACCCAGCTTGCAGAAGTTTTTTTGAGGGGGGTAAGGAGGAAGGTGGAGAAACCACGGAAGGCAGACTGCCTGGGGAGGAGATTGCCAAGCGCCCCGGGGGGGGCCCCTGGGACCCGCCGGTTCTTCTTGCAGGGCTGGGGTGCTGGTGGTGTCTCTGTGCGGAGGGGCGAATGCAAGAAAAGTTGTTTTCTGCATCCTTTAACATCCCGGCCTGGCCCGGCCCGGCCCGGAGCTGGCAGAAGTCGCCGGGGGAAGGCAAGCAGCCCTTTGCGCCTCCCGCTTGTACTCGGAGCCGGCGCGGGCGCGGAGGGCGGGGAGAGGAGTGCGGAGCCAGCCCCCCCACCCGACCTCTGCAAAGCAAGGGGCAGAGGGTGCAGCCGGGGTTGGGGACTGCCCCCCCCCAGCCGCGGTAGCCCGTGGGGTGGGGTGCCCGCCGCACCTCTGCTCCCCGGGGCCAAGATCGGGGCTAACCTGGTCCGCCGCCCCGCCTGGCCCGGTTGGGCAGCGAGGCGGCCGAGGCATGGCCCACTCGCCTGCTAGCCTCCTGGCCGACTTTCCTTGCTGCGCGGCTCTCTACTCCTCTCTTGACCCCTTGGGGGAAGTGTTGAGCCTGCTCGCATTCTTCTACGGGCTTGTCACAAGTGAGGCACCCCTCTTTTCACGCAAGAGGAGGGGAGAAAGGAAGAAAAAAGCAGATGCTGGGGGGGATGGGGCGGGAGGTTCGATTTGCTGGGCTGGGAGGCGCTGGGAGCTATTGAGAAAGGAAGAGTGAGGGCGGGTGCCAGTGGGGGGGTGTAATTGTCCTTTTCCCTCCCCTTAGCTTCAGTACCCTGGAACTGGGATTCCGGTCCTTGGTGAACACTCCATTGGAAAGGGGAGGGGCTAAGGGGGGAGATTTTTGTATCTGCATTTATTGTCTTGACTGCTGTCTATTTCGTACCGTGTGCTAATGTGTATTACATATTTGTGTGTCTGTCTGTATGCATAGGGGAGGGGGAAGGGAAGGAGGTGACATTCTTGCATCTGTATTTATTTTCTTGACCGCCGTGTATTCGAAACCGTGTGCGTGTGTTACACGCATATATATGGGGCGGGATGGATTGTGTGTGCTTGTGTGTGTGTGTGTGTGTGTGTGTGTGTATGCGCGCGCGCGTTAGTATTTGAGTTCTTGGAAGGAAGCTCAAAAAGTTGAGAACCCTCACCTCCCCTCTTCCCCTTCCCGTCCCCTTCCCCTCCCCATTCCCTCCCCATCCCCCTACGTCTTCCCAGGACAGCTTTTCAAGAAGTTTAATTGCACTTTAGAGTTGGAGCAGGTAGGACACAAAGATGTAGCTTGGTTACTCTTTTAACTGCCAACAGTGGGGGCAGGATTAGAGTGTGACAGTTTTCGAGAAGGAAATTTCTGATGCAATTCACTGCCTTCGGTAATTGCGTCTCCAAATCCCCTGCTTCTCTCTCTCTGCTAGGTCTGCTGACGGCTGCTGGAGCTCGCCGGCGAGTATGCAAACGGCGACTAGATTTTGAGAGGGAGGAGAGTGGCTGACCAAACTTTTTTTTTTTTAACTTAAACTTTAAGGAGCCACAAGTGACTTTCCACCATCGAGATTTGTTAGAAATCTAAGAATGCTAAAATTTAGCAATAAACAATGAGTACTTCCCCCTACAGTGTATTTTTAAAGTCTTATTTTTATTACAAACCCAGTTCCAAATCTTATGTAAGAGGTACCAAACAATCCACTCCCCCCCGCAAAAAAAAAAAAACTTTGGCAAAAGTATGCTTGCAAATAAACGTGCGTTATAGCCCCCCACCTTCTCTTTATTGCTGTTTTAAAACTGCCTGAAACTTCGGGACTAAAATGCTGATTCAGCAGTTGGGAGCTCCACTTTTATGTCTGCAGTGGTACTGTTTAAAATGTGATTTGTTGTACTAGGAACATATGTTGTTAGTATGGCAACAAAACTCTGAGCCTGACATTGCCATGTAAGGGCTTTTTTTTTTTTCCCATCCTTCATTTGAGTAAAGTCACCCGCACACCTTCCAAATGAGAAAAATGAGGGAGTTTTGCATCTAGTAAGAAGTACTGGAAATTGGGGCCAGTGAAAATGTTTTTTAAAAAATCCCTCTTAAAGGGAAGTGCCTTTTTTTTTTAGTGGTTGTTAAGAGTAAGCCTCTAAAAGCAGATTTAAATCTTTCCAGCAGTGATTCTAGAGGGCTAGGGTTCCCCGTTAAAAAAATAATAAGAAAAAACTGGGGGCTTATTGGACTTGATGTCCCAGTTGTACTTTGAGTACTTGAAAGAGAAGGTAACCGGGCTAATCCCAGGATTAAAGGGGGTGAATTATAAGGACAGGTTGAGAAAGAGGAGAAAAAAGCCCCCAGCAAACTAAACATAGGAAGATGAGTAATACTGAATAGGAAAACAAAATCTCTCTGAAACACTAAATTACAGAGAGTTAGAATGTAGTGTGAGCCATGATGATATAACTAAATCTTTTGGAAGTTGGAAGGGGGGAGACCACACAATTTTTAAAAAATGAAGACCAAGTAGGAGCCTTCATACTGATGCTTAAGCAAGCCCTGAATATTTACAACCTATAGAAACCATATCCTGACTTGAACAAAGAAGTCTATTGTACTTTCTCCTTCATCTTAGACCTGTAAAATTCTTAGTTTGCATAACTGATAAAGTGTATTTGCTGATTTCAAAGTTGGCATAATTAAAGAACAACCCACTTCCTGTATATTCTGTCCAACTTTAGCTGCAGGGGGAAAAAAGAGAGTGCTTGGGAGAATACATTTTAGTTTATTTTGGAGGCTAAGTTGCCAGTTTGCTAGGAACCCTCCATCTGTCTGCAGAAAACTTGGGCTCTGTTTGCCGTGCCCCCTTAGAATGAAGTTTGCATACTTGCACCCTCGTCGGGGTACTCTGCATATTTACTGTATAATCCAGATAGATCTGTTTTGCAGCCTGTTAGAGCAACATGCGATCTCATCTTCTTATGAGAAGTAAATATTTGCATCGTTCCTTCAAGTAATCAGCATTAAGTTCAGATGTTTATTTAAATCAACTTCCCTGACAAGTATACTGAGATTACTTTTTTAAAATTTCTTACAACTCCACTGTTGGCCTTTCCCAGATCACAGAGTGGCATGTAAGAAACTCATATGGTAAACACTGTTTCTTTTTTATAACTGGAGCTAAAAAATTAACCTCTGAGAGGCTTAATGGACAAAGGAACTGTGCAGTGAGACCCTTTTGACAAGATTTTTGCATAATTTATTGACTGGTGGTGCAATATTTAACACTTGGTACTTTGAGCCTAACCCTGCATGTTAATAGGCTTATACCAGAAGGGAGTGAACTACTCTTGATTCGCTGAAGCATTTACTTATTTGTCTTTAAGTTGAAAGCCTTGGTTAGTATCCAGTCTGATTTAAACCTAATAGCTGATTTTACTTGCTCAACATTTCTGAACTAAACACATAAGAGAGCCCAAATCATTGGATTTTCCTCAGCTTTATTTTTTGAGCACATTGCATATTTCAGTCACTGTGACATGCCTGGGTAGAAGGCCCACCATTAAATCTACTGGTGGGGAGGAGGGGAGCCAAACTTCCCCTCCCTTATTATTGGGAGAAGTTATAAGCATAGCTGGTTTGAAAATGGCACTTTTCTCTCTGTCTCTTTGTCTCTCTGTCTCTCCTCCATCTCTTTCTCCCCCCCTTCCCATCCCCCCCTTTCCTCTTTCTCTTCTCTCCCATCTCTGTCCATCTCTGTGTCTCCCTCTTGGTGTTTAGTCACACATTGAAAGAGGGAAGAAGTATGTAGTTCACGAGGACTTTCACTTATATGCACCATATAAGGCTGCTTTCCCCTTTTTTCTGCTTCCCTGGAGTGTATTAAGAGTTTAAACTTCATATGCCCCTATAAATCAGTTCAGTGCTGTTCACGGACGGGAGGAAAATGGAGATGGAAACTCTCTCCTTGTCCCCAAATGGCAATCTTGAGCCCCTCTTGTTTAAGGAAAATTGTATTAGTTTGTTGAAACAGAAGACAGACTGCCACAATTTTAAAACTGTTTACATTTGTATAGGGAGGGGGAAAATGGACCATAATTAAAATCTAGCCATCTTCTTTTTACAGCAGCAACCTTTTGGGGGATGGGATGGGTACTTTGACTTCTTAACCTATGAGATAGAGCTGAAATTAGTTATTTTGTTATTGGGCCACTTTGACACCAAAGGATGTCAAAAGTTGGTAATTGAAAATTTGACAGATGCAGGCCTCTTTATTTTTCTGATGGAAGGTAACTGAGTGACCTGACTTAAGTGCAGTGTGGGAGAAAAAAAAATCCCTTACATGGCTGTGTCAGACCCAGAGTTTTGTTGCTATTCTAACAACATAGTATGCTAAAACACATTTGTAGTAAGGTTTATTTCTTGTACAAAAATGACTTGTCTAATGCACTGAGAGCGAACTGTGCCCTGGAACACAATTGTACACAGTAATAGCCTTTGGGGTGTATCCATTAATCCATTATCATGCCTCCCACCAACATTGTGACATATGAGGGTACTTCCACTGGGCACCTTTCACTATTATTATAGCCCTCAGGGTGGAGGAAAGGGTGTAGACAACTGGCTGGAATGTGAATGTGCAATATTAGAATTAGCCTGTGAACATAAATACAATATACGTTCAGAAAAGGCTGTTGTATCTCATTTGAAGAATTTTCTCTGCCGTTGTTCTTTTGCTGTGGTCCAGGACCCTGTGTAGTTAGTCGAGTCTTCTGCATGCAAGTAGTGTGTTTTTTAAACAAACAAATTTGAGCAAAACCTATTTCTTACACAAGAGTGTGTCCAGTTTAATCTGCTCTGAAAAGTCTATC